CTCTTTCCATACTCCAACATAATCTCCAGCAACAAAGACACAAATTCCTGAAATCTACCTATTTTTCTAAACTAAGTTTTCGAGTATGCCAGACTGTTCATTGTCTTGGGAACTTTCACTATAAAAAAATTGTATTTGTTTGCATATATATGAATACAATCCATCAATCCATTTTAACATAACAAAATAAATAAATGGAGAATGTGTCCATGGGACACAGATGATGCCCCCACTTGCATATAACGTTATAAAAGGACATAACTTGAGAACGGTAAAAGTGAAGCCATCCAAATTCGAACTTGATCTGCGTTTTATGGTAATAACTATAAGCATTGTGTTTAAGTTTCATAACATTTGATTGAGGTAAACTAAAGTTAGAGAATCGAAACTAATTTTGGGACACGTACATACGAACAAGGGAACACTTTATGCCCCCTCCCCTGGGCGGGGGGATAAAAATTCTCAGCAAAATGGTCCTTGATGCACTTTTTGAGTTGATGAGGGAAAGCTGTAGAAAGGATTTTTTATTTTGCCTTACTATATGCACTTTTAAAATTTCAGATATTGTAATTGTGACTTTAAAAGACTTTAAGGACATTATCTATTTGATTACAGTATTCTTTAAATAAGTATCTTGAGCAGAATATATCTAGCTTTCTATATCATAAAAAGGCTTAATATTGCAGTACATATATAGGTGCTAAATAGACCTTGTCAAATTTGATAGGAAATGATATCAAGACCCTTTGTAGGTTGTTTAGAATTGATGTGAATTGTTTAATTTTTAATTTTCAAACTAGCCATGTAAAACTAGAGGCTGCCAAAAAATGACAGTAAACCAGGTATTAATCACAGTTTTAAGTGTCATTGTTTAAGTAATAAAGGGCCCTAACTCCTTAACAGCATGAGTGAAAATCATCAATTTTAAATACTTACTTCCATTTTGGCATCATTAATAATAATTTAAAATTGAAAAGCATTGGTTGAATAGTTTTCAACTTACCGTATGGAAACAACTTAAAATGCTAATTTCAAATCAATCAAGGGCCATAACTCCTGAATGACAAAAGTGAAAATCGTCAATATGGAACATATAACCTCAATTTTGTCATCTGAAACAACATATTAAATTTTTTTAAATCATTGGTTGAACAGTTTACAACTTACTGCACAGAAACAACTTAAAATGCTATTTTCGAATCATTCAAGGACCATAACTCCTGAATGTAAAAAGTTAAAATTGTCAATAACGAACTTGACCTCAATTTTGTCATCAGTAATAGCATATTAAAATTAGAAAAGCATTGGTTGGTTGAAAAGTTCTCAAGTTATTGTATGAAAAAGACATAAAGTACCCTTTAACAATCAAGCATAAACCACAACTCCCAAACAGCAAGTGTAAATCATCAATATCAAAGTTGACCTCAATTATGTCATCAGCCTGAGTAACAATGTTTTTAAATTTGAAAAGCATTGGTCAAATAGTTCAATCTAGTTATTGTAAAAAAACTACTAGAGCTGACCGACTGCTTACCCTTTGTACAACCCCAAATCAATATAATCTGATTCCGATTGGAAAACCTTGTTAATAAAATAATATCATATGAAAGTATGTAATAAAAGTCTTCAATTGTATCAGTATCTTTTCATTATCTTTTAAGAGAATATTAAATTGACTGTACTACTTATCAAATTATAGCTTCCAATTCTATGTCAAGGCAAGACAAAAATCAAAATCTACATAGACTTTTTTACTATTTAATCAAGAATAAACCCATCTCTTACAAATAGCATTTCAGAATAGATTAGCTACTATTTTTTCCAAGATACAAGATTTTAAAAATAAATCAATATCAATACTTTCTTTAAATCAAGACCATTTTGCAAAGCAAAAAGTGTAACTTCATCTGGCAGAAAACAAAGCCCTCAAACTATTAAAGTATAATTATCAAGAAGATTTCCTGCTGCTAATGGAGATATTTCCATCTGATTAATTTACAGTTTGTCAATACTGTCATTTTCTAAGCCAAGGACAATTTAATAACACATGCACTGAACATATTGTTTATAACCTTAACGGGTTACCGGTACACAATTTGAAATAAGGGTAAACTAAATACTGATACACAATCTACAGTAACAAGTCAACTAGTTACTGGTACACAATTTGAAGTATCGAGTCAACTAATTATTGGCACACAATTTGAAGTATCGAGTCAACTAGTTACTAATACTCAATCTGAAGTACCAAGTCAACAAGTTACTGCTACACAATCTCAAGTACCAAGTCAACTAGTTACTGGTACACAATTTGAAGTATTAAGTCAACTAGTTACTAATACCGGGTACTCAATCTCAAGTACCAAGTCAACAAGTTACTGATACACAATCTGAAGGACCAAGTCAACTAGTTACTGGCACACAATTTGAAATATGAGTGAACTAAATACTGATACATTAATCTGCAGTAACAAGTCAACAAGTTACTGGTACACAACTTGAAAAACAGACATGACAGAGTTAACACCTATCTGGTACACAATTTGAAGAACCAAGTTAAAAAGTAACTGGAACCAAATCGGTAGTACTTTGTCAACAAGTTACTGAAAAAAAAATTTGAAGTACCATTAGTTAACTAAGTACTGGTACACAATCTGAAGTACCAAGTCAACAAGTTACTATAACACAATCTTGAGTACTGAGTCAATAAGTTACTGTATTTTAAAGCAATTCTTAGCATGCAAAAAGCAAGGTAACCTAATTGAAATGTTGCCTATACAATGGGTTCAGACACAAACCCCAACACACAGATTTGGCTGCTGAAGACACAAAATCATTGAATATATGTCCATTGGACACCATGATGTCCCACTTATACTATCACACATCCATGTTCAGTGAACAGTAAAACCTTCATCATAACCTTTTATTTCCATTAAATGGACATGTTTACTAATTTTCAAGTTGATGTAACCACAACTTCAGAGTATGGATGCAGAGACTAGAAAACATATTGGAACCTACTCAGATCTGCCAACTTTCATGATTTATGGGGGATTTCCCCCATGAGAGGTGTTGACCTGAATTTTGAAATTCTTTATTATATAAGCGAAACATCGTAATACAGGCATTCAAATGAGTTAAAAGAGTATTTAAGCAAACACATACTCATTCAAACAATATAGTAGTAGATTAAAAATACATATGACAATATAAGAGAAGCATTAGGTCCTCTTGTGCTTAAAATCCCCCATCGAAATTTTGAAAAGTTGGCAAGTATGCCTACTACTGTAGGCATGGATAAAAAACACAAAAAATGTACCTAAAATAACAGTGGAAACACAGTTTTTCAAAACATCTTATGGTTTGTTAGAACAATTGGATTTATTCAATACATGTCTCAATTAAGGTCTTCGATACAGTACTGGTCAGGGCTTCCAAAATTTTTTTGAGCCAGCCGGACATTTCATATCTTATCCCGATTTTTTATCCCTTTAGACTTAGTAAATTAGGCAACTATGATAATCAGTTGGCCATCATATATGATATAACCAATGATTGACATTAATACGATATTAAACTTTACTTTGATATAAATTCGATGTTCTGATGTAAAGTGTTAAATTGAAAGTGCAGCATTCGAAGTGTGCAACATCAGCGTACTAATTCTGCTTTAGACTCTTTATTTGTGCAAAATAACGCTGTCAAAAGCTTTACTTTCGGTTTTTAAATCACATTTTCCTAATGCCGGATGTTGACTTGATAATGGTAAATCACGGATCAGAGACGGATACGTAATATCCGTGTAAGTTTACGATTGAGTTAAGTAGCCTTTTCAAGTTATTTCTTCAAGAAAATACTCGAAATGAACGTTAGATAAAGGTATCAATGATAATTTTAGCATTATTGAAGAATTAGGATGCATAATTAAATTTCCCACCAGCGGACAATAGACACATGCGCACACATGTACTAGTTCAAACAACGTGGTTCTGACGATTACTAGTTTAAAACCTTTTCAAATTTTTCATCAAATCATATTTATTAACGTATTTCTTATAATTTCAATCTTTTAGACTAAATTAATTAGATGCAACCCGCTGAAATGTAAGAAAATAACTTTGAATACCCTTTAGAGTACCCCAGTATTTTAACACAATGTACAGTGTTTTTTAAATATAATAATGAATATCATACAAATTCGAATTCATTTATAAATATTCTTATTTGAAGAATTATTTTAAAATCTGAGGATACTTTTTTAAAACTGAATGCTCATTTACAATAATATCTACAAAGCGTAATTAAATAGGATGTTGTTCCATACACGCTTACATGTTTGACCTCGTTTACCTGATCACCTTTATCACCTGTTTATGTTCATTGTTATGCATCATCAATTCTATTGATTAAGACAAGCTAAGGTCTCTCATCAAAGGTAATGACCTGTAATCAGTGAATGATTTATGGCTTCAATATTACTTAATATTGAAGAGATAATTGTTTGACAGCTTGTTGTTTTTTAAATAAAAGAACAAATGTTTTTTTCTACTTTTTATTGATGTACCAAGCCGTGCATTTGTGTACCCAGATGATTAGACTAACTGAGACACTTCAAAGTATGAAATATGCTGCATCTGTTTAATTAAACCCAAATATGACCGAAATATCTTTGTGAAATAAATTGCCATGATTGCCACAGTTATAAACTATAATGCCCAAACGGACATTTTTACTGATCGATAGTTGGTAAAAAAAGTGAAATGACTGTTTTATGAAAATGCCTTGAATAACAAAAGAGGCAAACATATGATATTTGACCGTTTGAGGCTGAGAGCAGCCAGACTTTTTATATAAATTTTGGTCAAGTCCGGAATATATGAACGTACTGGTGTTAAAATAGAAATTTTTGAGAGAAAAAAATGTCAGAAATCTGTTCTAGGCACATCAAATTTGAGAAATTTACCTTAACTAAATAAAAGATTTGTCCAAGAACTTACCTGAAACTTCTCCAAACAGATCCCAACAGTGGGAAAACAGGAACATCTTTAGGTTTGTTAAATGCCCAATAGTAAGAAGCAAATGCTCCTGCTAGTGACATCTGGCCTAGGGCTATACAGAAGTTCACCAACCAAAACAGCATGAACAAGTTGTAGATCTGTGAGTAGAATACAAAACTGTAAAGAGAAAAGTTAGAAATGTTTTGATGTTTTCAATATACAACATAGATAATTCATGTTTTAACAAATTTGTTTAAAAGTAGTCATTACTATTCCACTTCATTTCAATTATCAAGAGCTTTCTAAAAGAATAATTTAATTTTAGATGTAACGCGTTTTCTGATTGGCTGGCGTTGTTTTGCTTATCAGCTCATAGACATAATTTTGTCATGTGACCGTGACGTCATCAACGTTTTTCCATGGTTTACTCCGGTTTAAAATGGAATTAAGAATTAAATTATAAGAAATTACTGTAATATTTTTTCTGTCTATTCGAAATAACATAAAAAATGTGGTGCACACTTTAAAATAACCTGCTACGCGGGTTATTCAGTGAGCACCACATTTTAGATGTTATTTCTTCATAGACAGAAAAAATATAACAGTCAGTCCTTAAATGTTAAAATTAGAACTGCTATTAAAGGTGACTTTTCCTTTGATTTTACCTTAATTCAACATGAGCAATTCTAGCAATATAAGTGTCCATTTTTTATAAACCTTCTTGTCAGATTTAAACAGAATTTAAAACTTGCTAGAAAACTGGTATAAAACATGAATGGTTTATGGTGTAAGAAGGAGTATTTCTAGGAATCAGTCACTGTGTGAATCATGATATAAATCCTGCGATGCAAATAATTAGTTTAGTCACTAGATAATAAAAATCTGCATCATAGGCACATGGTGTACTTGTCTGACAAAGTTTAGTCATAAAACTCCTGGCCTTGCGGTCATAAAACTTTCGAGCACAATTATCAAACTCAGACTCAGAAATCAACCAATCAAAATACTGGATTTGGTGTATCGAGCACAAATTTTGTACTCCGAGTACCGAGTAAAGTTTTGATTTTGACAGAGGGCCTAGATTATCAAATTAAAGAATATTCAAAATTAAAAGATACGTGGCTTTAATTAGTTGTGAGTTGATCATATTTCATGGGACTAACTATATCAGTCATTGCTCACCACACTATGCAAAGTGAGCAATATACACCTTATCACTATTTGTTCGTCATTACTGAACATCACAAAAGTTCCCATAAAATTTCTACGTCACAATAGAAAATGTCTGATGCCATAAAAGAATAAAATGTTCCGCTGGGCGCAGCTTGATACGACCGCAGAAGGCAAACCCTGAACAGTTGGGGCAAGTATGGACACAACATTCAAGCTTGATACAGCACTGAATTTGGATTGTGATTAAATATTTGACACAGCATAGGTTTCTGACACAGAATGAATGTGGTCTAACCACTTAAATTTTTTTAATTTACCTATTCAAACCATATCATTATTATTTGCTTTTATATATAAATCAGAAATAACCAATTTAAAATGGAAAATTTTAAAGAAAAAAAAGGAAAAAAAAATCCCCCCTCAAATTTTTTGAACCCCCTTATGATTCATCACCTCTAAACTCAATCCCAGCCTTCCCTTTGTGGTACAATGTATGGTGCCTTGCAGTACAATTTCAGAGAGATCCGTACACTTGAACACAAGTTATTGTCTGGAAACTAGAAAAATACTTGTTTTTTTGCCCCTTTTTGGCCCCAAATTCCTAAACGTTTAGGGCAATTACCCCCAAACTCAAACCCAGCTTTCCCTTTGTAATATAGAACCTTGTTGTACAATTTCATAAAGATCCATACACTTACACACAAGTTATTGTCCTAAAACTAGAAAAATGCTTGTTTTTTGCCCCCTTATTCCTAAAAATTGAGGCAATTACCCCCAAAATCAATCCCAGCCTTCCCTTTGTGGTGTTGTACCTTGCAGTACAATTTCAGAGAGATCCATACACTTGAACACAAGTTATTGTCTGGAAACTAGAAAAATGCTTATTTTTGGCCCCCTTTTGGCCCCAAATTCCTACACATTTTGGGCAATTACCCCCAAACTCAATTCCAGCTTTCCCTTTGTGATATGGAACCTTGTAGTACAATTTCAGAAAGATCCATACACTTACACACAAGTTATTGTCATGAAACTAGAAAAATGCTTGTTTTTTGCCCCTTTTTTGGCCCCTAATTCTTAAAATTTTGAGGCAATTACCCCCAAAATCAATCCCAGCATTCCCATTGTGATATGGAACCTTGTGGTACAATGTCAGAGAGATCCATACACTAGCACCCAAATTATGTCTGGAAGTTACAAAAATGCTTATTTTTGGCCCCTAATTTCTTAACTGTTGGTACCATAACCCCCAAAATCAATCCCAACCTTCCTTTTGTGGTATTGAACCTTGTGGTAAAATTTCATAGAGATCCATTCACTTAAACTAAAGTTAGAGTGCGAAAACCAATGTGTCTTCGGACGACGACGACGCCAACGTCATACCAATATACGACCACAAAAATTTTTTTGCGGTCGTATAAAAATGATTGTTGTATGAAATCAATAGTTCACAAATTCTCAGGTCAAGTGTCGCAGATTCCCAAATAGCGATAAAAAGGTGTGAAAAAGAAGATTAAGACACCCTAGATTTTCAGTAAAGTATCCAAATTCATCCTTGTGTTTTTTATGATGTCTCTTGGTCTCTGATAAAATTGCAAGTCAAGTGCTTGTTTTTTCAATCATAATGTTAACAGTTCGTGAAACTAAATGACATCTACAGACAGGAAAGCATTGTTTTATGGTTAATTGCCAACAGGTACTTAATTGAAGTGATTTGTCATTCAAATCATCACTCACTCCACTAATAAAATACAAATAAGATAACTTTGACTAGTCTTAAGTACTAGGACATCACAAACTTGGATAATTGGAAAAATTTATGCCTACAAATATTTCTTATACAATAGAGGGGAGGTAATTCTAACATTTTATTCTCTGCTTGAATTTTATTTTAAATTGTTCTTAACTATGTCAAATTTTACATTTGATTTCCGGTTATGATGAAAATGCCTCGAAAAAGCCAGACTTAACTTCTTTAAATTAAAGCCTTTTCTCTTTAATAACAAGTCTATACACATTACTGAACAGAACAATAGTCAAAACTGTTATTTGTTGACTTTGTTTCTAGAGGTTGCAACCTATTATTGCAATTACAGATTTTATTTACAAATTTTAAATAAAGAGATATGGAATAAATATTTAGAAACATCCTACAACTTTACAGTTAATGTGATCTTTTTGCACTCTTGTTGAATTTTGGTATTTCTAATAGAGTAATTTTGATGTTTTCATCTAAGGTTATAAATAAACAAAATATGACCCCCAGTACAAAAGAGTTGATTATCTTTCCTAGTAAGAATTCAAGTATCATGCCTGGCAGATCTGAAACTGCTTACATGGTACAATTCAAAATTGTTATGCAAGACCAAATTCTCAAATTCTTATAAGGGGTTTATGAGGACTTGCAGATACAAAATGGTTTTCCCAAAATAAGACAATGGCATTATTAGCTAGTGCAATGATTTGTTAGGGAAACCCCTAAGATTAAAATTTACACAACTCACTGTTCTTCCTGGTTCTTCAAAAACTGACACACATCACTTCTGCTTTCATTTACCTGTAGTTATAAAATAAATTCCATTTAAAATGATTCAAAAATAAATTTCTAGAGGAAAAGATGCAAAAATTTAATTTCAACAAGGAAAATCATGCCCTTTTTTAAATATCTAAATAAATAAGTCCATTTATATTATTATTGTACTAAGTCAAGGTCAAAACTAAATATCTTGTAGAAAACTAACAAAAAAGTATTAATCTAATGAATTTGAATATATGCTGAAGGAGACAAGCACAAATGTTTATCACCATTTTAAAGCCAAGTGATAACATTTTACAAAGAAGTATAAGAAACTAATTTTTTGGATTAATATTCGTACCTCAGTATCACACAGCCTAGGGTCTAATACTTACTGATGGGTCTTTACAACCAAGATCACCTAAGTACTTTGAAGATGCTTTTTGAATTTTTAAGTAATCCCATGTATGATTATCAAACTGATATTCTGTCTTGTTGTTGAATTCAAATGTCTGATTTCTTCCAGTGCTGGCTAAAAAGCTGTATACTATTAAGGAAGAACAAATGTTTTATGCAAATCAATAGTAATTAATCAATGCTTTATGCATATCAAGGGTGATTAATCATCATTATGCATATTAAGGGTGATTAATCATCATTATGCATATCAAAGGTGATTAATCTATGTTTTATGCATATCAATGGTGATTAATCATCATTATGCATATTAAGGGTGATTAATCATCATTATGCATATCAAGGGTGATTAATCAATGATGTATGCTTATCAAAGGTGATTAATCATCATTATGCATATCAAGGGTGATTAATCATCATAAGTGCACACAATGAAAATTATGTCTAGCCTGCTGTACCGTTTATGATTGAATTTTATGCTGGAAGTCTTTGTAAGCAAAGTAAAACACAACCAAAAAATTATCAATGATCTATGAAAATTATATCAAGGTCAGATGAACTGTCAGACAAATATGTACACCTTACAATCATTCAATACACCAAATATAATGGCCCTATTCATAAAATTCCAGATGTATGGCTTTTTGGCTTTATGGCATTTTTATTATAAATTCAATATAACAAACATCTAATAGTGAAGCAGAAATTTTTTTTTATGACAGAGGGATGCTATTTTCATGTCAGATTAATTCTGAAGAACTTCCTTCATAGAAGACAGAATAGACATTAGTCATCCACTGGGCTTTAATAGTATTCTATTTAGCATGGGTTTTGCTCATTGTTGAAGTTGTAGGACAAACTGTAATTTTTCACATCTTGGTAACCAGAAAAGGATACACAGCTACAGTTATCCAAAAACCAATCACTGCTATTTCTAAGATGAATGGGAAGAAAGGGAAAATCAGTGTAAACATCATACTACCAACAGCTCTGAAAAATAGGAAAATCAGTGTAAACATCATACTACCAACAGCTCTGAAAAATTGGAAAATCAGTGTAAATATCTTACTTCCAACAGCTCTGAAAAATAGGAAAATCAGTGTACACATCTTACTACTTACTCCCCAAAGCTCTGAAAAATCAGTGTAAATATCTTACTTCCCAAAGCTCTGAAAAATAGGAAAATCAATGTAAACATCATACTACCAACAGCTCTGAAAAATAGGAAAATCAGTGTAAATATCTTACTACCCACAGCTCTGAAAAATAGGAAAATCGGTGTAAACATCATACTACCAACAGCTCTGAAAAATAGGAAAATCAGTGAAAATATCTTACTACCAACAGCTCTGAAAAATAGGAAAATCAGTGTAAACATCATACTACCAGCCCTGAAAAATAGGAAAATCAGTGTAAACATCATACTACCAACAGCTCTGAAAAAATAGGAAAATCTGTGTAAACGTCTTACTTTCCACACCTCTCAAAAATAGGAAAATCAGTGTAAACATCTTACTCCCCAAAGCTCTGAAAAATAGGAAAATCAGTGTAAATATCTTACTTCCCAAAGCTCTGAAAAATAGGAAAATCAGTGTAAACATCATACTACCAACAGCTCTTAAATTAGAAAATCAGTGTAAACATCTTACTACCAAAAGCTCTGAAAAATAGGAAAATCAGTGTAAACATCATACTACCAACAGCTCTGAAAAATAGGAAAATCAGTGTAAACATATTTCTTCCCACAGATTTGAAAGATAGGAAAATCAGTGTAAACGTCTTACTTTCCACACCTCTGAAAAATAGGAAAATCAGTGTAAACATCTTACTCCCCAAAGCTCTGAAAAATAGGAAAATCAGTGTAAATATCTTACTTCCCAAAGCTCTGAAAAATAGGAAAATCAGTGTAAACATCATACTACCAACAGCTCTGAAAAAATAGGAAAATCTGTGTAAACGTCTTACTTTCCTCACCTCTCAAAAATAGGAAAATCAGTGTAAACATCTTACTCCCCAAAGCTCTGAAAAATAGGAAAATCAGTGTAAATATCTTACTTCCCAAAGCTCTGAAAAATAGGAAAATCAGTGTAAACATCATACTACCAACAGCTCTGAAAAATAAGAAAATCAGTGTAAATATCTTACTACCAACAGCTCTGAAAAATAGGAAAATCAGTGTAAACATCATACTACCAACAGCTCTGAAAAATAGGAAAATCAGTGTAAACATATTTCTTCCCACAGATCTGAAAGATAGGAAAATCAGTGTAAACGTCTTACTTTCAACACCTCTGAAAAATAGGAAAATCAGTGTAAACATCTTACTCCCCAAAGCTCTGAAAAATAGGAAAATAAGTGTAAATATCTTACTTCCCAAAGCTCTGAAAAATAGGAAAATCAGTGTAAACATCATACTACCAACAGCTCTGAAAAATAAGAAAATCAGTGTAAACATCATACTACCAACAGCTCTGAAAAATAGGAAAATCAGTGTAAACATATGTCTTCCCACAGATCTGAAAAATAGGAAAATCAGTGTAAACGTCTTACTTTCCACACCTCTGAAAAATAGGAAAATCAGTGTAAACATCATACTACGAACAGCTCTGAAAAATAAGAAAATCGGTGTAAACATCATACTACCAACAGCTCTGAAAAATAGGAAAATCAGTGTAAACATATTTCTTCCCACAGATCTGAAAGATAGGAAAATCAGTGTAAACGTCTTAATTTCCACACCTCTGAAAAATAGGAAAATCAGTGTAAACATCTTACTCCCCAAAGCTCTGAAAAATAGGAAAATCAGTGTAAATATCTTACTTCCCAAAGCTCTGAAAAATAGGAAAATCAGTGTAAACATCATACTACCAACAGCTCTGAAAAATAAGAAAATCAGTGTAAACATCATACTACCAACAGCTCTGAAAAATAGGAAAATCAGTGTAAACATATGTCTTCCCACAGATCTGAAAAATAGGAAAATCAGTGTAAACATCATACTACCAACAGCTCTGAAAAATAGGAAAATCAGTGTTAATATCATACTACATGTACCTACAGCTCTTATTACTAAAAGCTCAAAGAAGTATGAATTGCTTATCTCGAAATAACTATGCCATATTGATATTAACACAACTAGTGGTTCCAATTGGCCAAGTAGTTTCAGAAGAGAAGATTTTTGTAAAATTTAACAACAGATGTCAAGTGATGAGAATAGCTCACATGGCACTTTCAGGACAAAATTTTTTTTTTTTTAAATCTCAATAAATTTTTAGATCTTGTATTGATGATCATCTATGCTGAATATCTATAACCGTTTTCAAAAAAAAAAAAAAAATGAAAAATTTTGTTAAAAATAGTAATTTAAGGACAACAATTCCTATAAAAGGAGTTGTGAAATTATTATAATCAAATTGGCATTGTAGATCTTCTTCTTGCTGATCATTTTTGCTGTTTAAACTGCTTCTGTCTATATCTATTATAGTTTTGAAGATCATAGACAAAAAACTTAAATTTGTCAAAAATATTCTTGTAAGGGCAGTAACTCCTATAAGGATTCGTCGAATAATTTTGGTACAAATAGATATTGGAAATATTTTGACATTCTAAACATTTTTGCCCTGTCAGATTTTCTGTATTTATCATGGTTTTTAAGATCAATATTAGACAATTATCTGCAAGTTTTTCTTATGTTCTATTTTTAGCCATGGTTGCCATGTTTGTTAATGGAGCTAAACAAAATTAACATACTTTAATCTAGATACCCTAATGATCAATAATGTGAAGTTTCATTTACGTTGATTCTGCTGTTTCAGAGAAGATCTTTGAAAAAGTTAACAAAAGACTTCATAACCTGATAATGACCTTGGACAGATGAGCTAATTAAGGGAAAATTATTGTAAACAAGAAGTTGCATTCATTGTATTCACCATCCCCGGGCAATGGTAAAGCAAAGTATCAGAAAACAGGAAATATGTGACAGACAGAACTAGAAGGCACTTTACATGTTACAAGTTATTACTATCAAGCTGCATGAAGTCTTCCTGTTAAGCATTACTAGGGAAATTTGAGACAAATATATAGAATTCATTCAACATATTGAAAAATTCAAAGAATCAGTAAACAGGAAGTAGGTGACAGACAGATCTAAAACTCTATCACAGTTATGACTCATCACTGTCAAGCTAATTAAAAAATATGAAGTCATTCAGTGTTGCGTGAACAGGTAAATTTCTGCTGTCAGACAACAAATTAACTTTGGTTGTAATGAGAGCGTATTAAAGTAGGGTTTGTTTTGATAGTAATTATTCATCATGTCACTTACATGACCTGAAATATGTGGCTGTTTAAGGCAAAATGTCTGGTCAAAACAATCGCATAAACTTCAATTTTTTTTTCTAGGCTCAGCACAACAAGTCAAAAATTAAATTTACGAGTCAAGACTGGACAATACAACCGTTTTGGAAGCTCTAAATCATACCACATGTCCTTATTTTCATACTGGTGGTTTCAGAGAAAATGATGAAAATGAAGTTTAACTAATAATGGTTGGATAGACAGACAACAGATGCAAAATGATGACAATAGCTCACATGCTATGGATGGGCCATGTTTGCTAAAAATGGACACAGAAGGAAAGAAATATATGCATGTATGAACAAGTGAAACAATAAATGCCCCTTCCACAATATAACTCACCTGCTACCCTCTTTGATTAGAGCTATTGCTATTTTGATTCTCTCACACAGGATAAGTAATACCAGTAATACAATGGCTAATATTATAGCTGCAATTATACCTGCAATGATAAAATAAAATAATTTGTTTAAAATTCTGAAGGACATGCATGCATTGTTGTTTGTAGATGAAATTAACATAATAAGTTAGATTCATCCTCATTATGGAACAATAAAATCAGGTCTGTAAGCATAATTTTCTGGTCAGGAATCTGATGTTCAGTAGTTGTCGTTTGTTGATGTGGTTCATAAGTGTTTCTCGTTTCTCGTTTTTTATATATATTAGACCGTTGGTTTTCCCGTTTGAATGGTTTTACACTAGTAATTTTTGGGGCCCTTTATAGCTTGCTGTTTGGTTTGAGCCTAGGCTGCGTGTTGAAGACCGTACTTTGACCTATAATGGTTTACTTTTATAAATTTTGACTTGGATGGAGAGTTGTCTCATTGGCACTCATACCACATCTTCTTATATCTATTTACAACATAATTCTGTCATGTGTACCCAATTTTCTTACAACTGGTAATTTCGATTTATATAATGTCAACAGTATTCTAAAAAGTTTATTCTTTACTTGCAAATCATATTGATATTAGTGTTTTTATCACCATTTGTAAACACTGTATCCATATTACAACTAGCAATAATTTTTTTAACATTAAAGAAACCTTAGTGAGCACGCTCACATACCCCAAGTCCCCACATTGTCATTGGAGAAATAAAATAAGTGTAAGAAAAAAAAAATGAATCATAATTTCCTGTCAATATGCACATCTACATAGTATGTCCTTATTATCTACAAAGTTTCATGAAATTCTGTTGTGTGGTTTGAGAGGAGTTGCGATGACAAACTGTTGCAGAAGTACATTGAAGCAAATAAGTTCAAAGGGGCGTAACTCCTAGAAAAAACTAGAGGCTCTAAAGAGCCTGTGTCGCTCACCTTGGTATATGTGCATATTAAACAAAGGACACAGATGGATTCATGACAAAATTGTGTTTTGGTGATGGTGATGTGTTTGTAGATCTTACTTTACTGAACATTCTTTCTGCTTACAATTATCTCTATCTATAATGAACTTGGCCCAGTAGTTACAGTGGAAAATATTTTGTAAAAGATTACAAAAATTTATGAAAAATTGTAAAAAATTGACTATAAAGGGCAATAACTCCTTAAGGGGTCAACTGACCATTTTGGTCAAGTTGACTTAATTGTAGAACTTACTTTGCTGAACATTATTGCTGTTTACAGTTTATCTCTATCTATAATAATATTCAAGATAATAACCAAAAACGGCACAATTTCCTTAAAATTACCAATTCAGGGGCAGCAACCCAACAACAGGTTGTCAGATTCATCGGAAAATTTCAGGGCAGATAGATCTTGACCTGATAAACAATTTTTCCCATGTCAGATTTGCTCTAAATGCTTTGGTTTCAGAGATATAAGCCAAAATCTACATTTTACCCCTATGTTCTATTTTTAGCCATGGCGGCCATCTTGGTTGGTTGGCCGGGTCACCGGACACATCTTTTAAAATAGATACCCCAATGATGATTGTGGCCAAGTAGTTTCAGAGGAGAAGATTTTTGTAAAAGTTAACGACGACATACGACGGACGCCAAGTGATAGGAAAAGCTCACTTGGCCCTTTGGGCCAGGTGAGCTAAAAATTGAATCGTTATTTCCTGTCGATATGCACATCTACATAGTATGTCCTTATTATCTAAAAAGGTTTCATGAAATTCTGTTGTGTGGTTTCAGAGGAGTTGCGATGACAAACTGTTGCAGTAGTGCTTTGAAGCAAATAAGTTCAAAGGGGCGTAACTCCTAGAAAAAAAAAATGAATCGTTATTTCCTGCCGATATGCACAACTACATAGTATGTCCTTATTAACTGAAAAGGTTTCATGAAATTCTGTTGTGTGGTTTCAGAGGAGTTGCGATGACAAACTGTTGCAGCAGTATATTGAAGCAAATAAGTTCAAAGGGGCGTGCGCAACTCCTAGAAAAAAAATTGAATCGTAATTTCCTGTCGATATGCACATCTACATAGTATGTCCTTATTATCTACAAAGTTTCATGAAATTCTGTGGTGTGGTTTCAGAGGAGTTGCGATGACAAACTGTTGCAGCAGTATATTGAAGCAAATAAGTTCAAAGGGGCGTGCGCAACTCCTAGAAAAAAAATTGAATCGTAATTTCCTGTCGATATGCACATCTACATAGTATGTCCTTATTATCTACAAAGTTTCATGAAATTCTGTGGTGTGGTTTCAGAGGAGTTGCGATGAAAAACTGTTGCAGTAGTGCTTTGAAGCAAATAAGTTCAAAGGGGCGTAACTCCTAGAAAAAAAAAATGAATCGTTATTTCCTGCCAAATGCACAACTACATAGTATGTCCTTATTAACTGAAAAGGTTTCATGAAATTCTGTTGTGTGGTTTTAGAGGAGTTGTGATGACAAGAAACGGGACTGACGGACTGAAGGACAGACGGATGAACAGACGGACTGACGGATGGACAGACAGAGGTAAAACAGTATACCCCCACTTTTTTAAAGCGGGGGTATAATAACATTTGTTTATGTCAAACTGAAATGATGCTGATAAAATAGGTAGAGATTAATACACATCAAACAACTCAATATTACTTTATTTGGTTACATATCAAGTCATGTATTGTCCATTGTCTTCTATTCTATACTGAACATAGTGGAAAGAAAATTGTTTTTTTTAAGTAGACTGTTGTTCATTTTTGTAAATAGTTGGCCAAAGACCATATGATGTAAAAAGATATTTCCAACATAAACAATACTCTCTGGGAAGGAGATAATCATGAGGAAAAGTTTATCAGAAATTCCAACTTACCAAATGCTAGAAACATCTTAGGCTTGGAAAAGTTGAACTTGATTACAGCAAAATGTACAGTAAAACTTGCATCTGTGTCTTTCAGATCAATGTAGTTCCAGAAACAGTACCATGTTGCTGCAAAAATTATAACACAAATTAAATCATGTTGGCATTAATTGTTATACTGTGAATTCATTTATTTCTATGGTTACTATTTTCATGGATTGAGGAAAATTGTGTTTTGGGGGTTTTGTCTAGGTCTGCATACAAGTCTTTAGAAAATTTGAACATTTAAATTGGTGGTTCACCATAACCCACGGAAATTGGTATCTTACCAACAATAATGAATCCACAATAGTTATCTTATTCAAGAACCTCAGAAGTTTTTAATTCTAATCTTCAAATTCAGCTATAAACCATAAATCATTGTAAATAGCATTGCTGACTTTGCATAATATAATTCTTATTAGTTCATTTGGCTTGTAAAAAAAGTAAAGATACCAGGGGAGTTAAAAATATCATGTTTTTTTTTTTATTTTAAGCTGTGCCATCTCCACATATTGCTATTATGTATGATTTTTTACCACTAACTGATGAGTGTTTTAAGATTGCTAAAGTTTTAAGTGTGAATTATAATTCTCTCTTTGTTGAAGTTCCTACAAAATTATTAAAAAGATCTGTACAAAGTAAAATAACAAAAATACCGAACTCCAAGGAAAATTCAAAACTAAAGTCCCTTATCACTGTAATTTATATTTCTTCTCTTTATTTTGTAAAATATGTCCATACACATGATGAAACCACTAAGTATTGTTCATGGATCCAAACTTCAGTGGTTTGTGAAAATATCACTGGTAATTCAAATGTGTAAAAGAAGCATATTTACCAAATCCAAACAGTGCAATAAATACTAAAACTGTGAACCACACCATGACACCAGCCAACCATCTCATGACAAATATCCATATTAATGACAGCAACGTGGCAATTAACAGGCCGCTAAAAAAAGATAATTGAAATTGACAGTTTAGTGCTAGCCATTATATATTTCTGAAAGGAAGCAAGTTCAGCAACTCATTTCACAAAAAATCTTACGGGAAAAATACTTGTAAGTCATGAACATTGAAGTATTACTTACGATCAATTTTTGTTGTAATATTTTTTGTGAAAAGAGCCCCTGGACTGTTCTACCAGATTTGGTTTACAAAGGTTACATATCCGTACAAAAAAGAGTCGCTATCAATGTTTCATCCATAATATTTGTGTCTGTATCAAGTTGGGCTATCATAACTGTATGTTAATTGTCTTTGTTTGTATGTGTGTTATTTTTTTTGGAGGAGTTGGTGTTCAGGATTGATGTGGTCTGTGTACTGTCCAGTATTTATTTTCAGTGACTCCTGTTATCCTAAAATTTATATAATATTCAATGTTTTTTATTCAAGTATAGAGTCTCCTGCAGACCTTGTTGATTTCATTCACACCTCTTCTAGACTCTTGGAAATACAGAGTTTGATATATGTAAGGTATTGATGCTTTTCTCCAACTCAGAGGACCACACTAATCCACCACTAAAGGGTTTTTGGTGTTAGGTTGCTGTCTTATTGACTTTTACACCAAATTTCCTTTCATTTACATCAAAATTGAACATGAATTGAACCTGCTTTTAATGTTCATCCATATGCTGCTTAGAACTGTAAAAAGATTGGGATCAGATAACAATACCTTGGAGCAAGGGTCCTGAATTGGGCATATTTGCCAGTCATGTCCTAAACTGAAAGCTATTTGTCCTAAACGGCAGATTGGGATTTAGGACAAATTGAAATTTTTTACAGAAATAATTTCGGTCATTTCATTGAGATCGGGTTTCTTTATCGCCATTTTGCACTTGTTTTTGTTTTGAAATCCCTTTCCTATAATAATACTGCCACTCAAGTATAGTATGATAATTCTGAGGGCCCTCCTAATAACCATATTACTGTCTCTGGGGATCGCTAATCACTTTTTACCTGTGTTTTTAATTCACACCTGACAGTGATGACAAGCTCAGAACTATTAAGTATTATAAAGAAATTAAAATTCAATGACAACTTTCTTCATTTTTTAAATTTAAAATTTAAAATCCCATGATTTCCTGTCAATTCGATAAACAGAACGAAGTTAGTTCTTTAGTATTGTTATTAAACTTCTGATTTTAATTTCCTTTTCAAATTCGAAAGAAACGTTAGTGATGTCTGAGATATTTACCATTTTGAGACATTAAAATCATTTGAATTTTAAACTGTTGCACTCCATTAACTGTTCTTGAACGTTTTTAGAAAAGCGGTAAGAAAATTCATGAAGTAAATGCGATGAATTGGTCAACACAAGTTCATTGATGCTATGAATCTAGTGTGAATAATTTAGACAGTTTGAAAAAAGGGGCCCAACACTTAAGTCATCTCAAAATGACCGAAATTGTGTAAAGAAATTTCCGGATCCTTGTCTTGGAGATTGGGCTATCTCTAAAGGACTCTGCTTATATATCCCCTATTTCCTGTAAGCTAATTTATAATACTTGTCACATTGAATTAAACTAAAAAGAAATGTACTTAACAGATATATTCAGGATTATTCATCAATAAAAACTTATGACCAATATGTGACATATTGTACTAATGAACCTAGGAACATCTGCAACATTCTACGAATTTATTAACCATGACCTTCAAGTTGGAGACATTCCAAACATTCTTACTATAGGCCAACCTCTGGAAGTGGACCCTAATAACCAGCAGACTCAAAAATTAATTTAAACAACATATTTTTTCTCTGTATCTTTTCATGTCTTTGCATATAGTTTTATGATGATATTATTATATATCTATTTGTATTTAAATCTTTTTAAAAAATGTAAAGCAAATAATTATTCTAATTTGAAACATTTTCTAATGGATGTCTTACATAATAATCATCCACCATGAGGTGACAACATCTTCAACAATCTTCTCACCATACTCTTTGGCCTTCAGAAATATTCCATATACACTACAATTTTCACAAAAATTAATTACAAATGCTAATTCAAATACACGTCCCTTTAAATGGTCAGCAAATTATTTGATACAGTTTTGGACATATTTCAAAGGTTAACATTGGTATTTCATTTTGAACTTAATTCACCAAGGAGGTTCAAAAACACAACAGCTCTGTTAAATGACAGTGCACTAACCTTTGTGCTATACTGTTTATTAATGCAATAACACTTTAATAAGATACTTCCGTTTTAAAGCACAGGATGTAAACTTGACAGAAATAAAGCTCGTAAGAAAGACAGAGTTTGATCCATGAAATCCATATACTTACTTTCATGCATTATCAACTTAGAGATTCACTGATTTATATTGCACTCCGTTCAGTGTGATATGAGAAATATCTCTTCATGCAGGAAATAACAGGACAGAATCATAAGATAAATGGTATTCTCTTATGGTTGTGGCCTGTAATCTATATATTTCCCACATGAAAAGGTGAATGTGATATGAACAAGTCATACGAAAAATATGTTAATTTACTTGGCCTAACCTGCAATGTGTTATGAAGTTGCAACATATTCACTGACTTTTCTTTCAAAAATTCTGTCTATTTTTCCTTCAAAAACCATTTTAATTTAAAAATTTTAAATATTATTTTGATACACTAAATCATTTACTTTGGATTCATTATTTTTCATGTGATACCAATTTTTGTGGATTTCATTTGATATAGTTGAATCAGGAACATATATATTGACGGGACTTGACACTACCTAATTGTAGCCGATTTTATTGTCAGGTCATAGGTAACAAAGATACGATACGGAAACGGACATGTGTTAAAAACATACTCGCTATTATCCTAATAATTTCTGATAATATCAATAAAATGTCATTCAAACTAAATTTACAGTGATGCCAGTGTATCAAACTTGTATTCTCTATCACTTCAAATTTGTTATAATCGCATTCATTTTATCACAGAATGATACAGAATGCAAACAGGGTGATAAAAAAATGGCGCAGATTGCCTTCCCAAATTCAAAAACATTATAAAACACTTCACATCAAATAAATCACACTTATTTTGGTAATTTTATAAGACAAAATGTATCTACTTTATGATAAAACTTGTATTTATTTACGATTAGAATTATGTGGTTAATTTATTGAGCAGTTCCGATACTGTTTTTCAGTCAGACGCCACCAAAGTCCATAAATCTTGCGAAGTCTCGTGGAGTCCGAGATTTTATCAATTTTATACCGAAAAGCCTATCAGATTCATTTCCCGTTAGATATACTGTTCCCAGGTTGAATCACACATCAAAATGTTCAACGAGGTGCAAATTTTCTATTGGCTTGAATGTAGACTTTCAAGCAAAACCATTAAAATACAATTTTTCCTCAATCCCCGAAAATAAATGAATGCACAGTATTGCTCAAATTGTTTAGAAGTAAACAAGTAAAACATGAGATACAACTCCAAAAAGATCTACCAATGTCCTGTATTAATTTACCTGTTAGTGAACGGGTAAATTTTGACGGTTATTAGACAACCAATGAACCTGGATAGTAATAACTATTTTGGTGAAGGTCTTGTTTTTACTGTAATTTCTGCTCATGTCACTTTTATTACTGGAAAAGTTTGCAACCTGTTCTAGGGAAAACTTCAAATCAAAAGCTTAATAATGTTAAAGTGGACAGCCCACAATTGATTTCCGTTTCAGGTGAAGAAGAATGACACAAATTGTAAATGGGTCACAATCCACCGGTAAAACAAATTGCAATAGGTGGAGTAAAACACTATCAGTCAAGTCAAAGTTATTGTATTAAAGCCATATTCTTACAAACAAAGAGTCACAACTCTATAGTAAAAGTAATATTGTCAGCTTCAGACATTTGGTCAAAGCAGTAGCATTCATTCACAACACATCTAGACTCAGTGTAATTTATAGCTTGCCATACATCATCAGCAGATGTGTCAATTGTTATGAACTTTTGTGGATTTCATAGATATACGTAAACCACAAATTAAAGTGTTGAATCAAATATACATTTGCAATAGATTTGAATGCAGATTTTAAGAACCACAAAATCAAATATTCACCAAAATTAAATTTTTAATCAATCAGCAAATTCGTAGCCAAGAAAACTAAATGACTCAACAGTTCTATATAATGACATGGTGATGTTTATATTGGACAATGTCACCATGTGTTTTTGAATTACAATTTCAGTGGCTTTTACCCAACACCTTTTATTTGCATGAAAATTTTGTATGCACATAAAAAGATGGAATAGCAAGCAAAAATATCGTTTCTGATTAATGGAATGTAAACTGTGAGGGATATTGGGCTCTTAACTTTTGTATGTAGATATTTTTAAGACTCTTTTTGTTATTTTCCACTTTTGTAGATATTCTTACGACTTTTACTTACTTTAATCCCTCTTTGATGACATCATCTGATAGAGTATTGTCAGAACTGTCTGTTACATTAATTAAGCTTTGATTTTTTACCATTTCCAAAAGATTTCCACCTTTATCCAAGAAATCAAACAAAAAAGATGGAACACATCGATTTATAACTGAAAAAGAATAACTCAATGAATAGATGGTTTCTAACAAAAAAGGATTTTGTTAATTTTTAAGAATAACTAAGTTTTTACGGACAAATTCCACTGAATATTATCACAAAAATCTATTTTCGACATTGGAAATCAATGTTGAATAGCATGTCATGATACTGTAAATTCAGAAATTATTGCGTGCATTTATTATTTAGAATTTTGAAGAATGGATGCGAGATTAATTTTTGCAATTTCAGGTACCAGATATCAGAATGCGAGTTCTTATTATTGCGATAATCACCAAGTCGCATTATTTGCATTAATAAAAACATTGCCATAATTTTTGAATTTACAGTATACATATCAATTAAGTGATGACAGACAGACAGATATACAGAGTGATTACAATAAGGTGTTGCAGACTTTTCCGTGGAGCACTTATTACTGAAACTGCAAAAAAAATTCTTTGTTCGGTAGAATATAAATGTAAGTGATCATCATGTAATCTATTATTCCTAAAAACCTTAAAAATAATAATACCATTTTTACTATATACTGCCAGTGAATTTATCCAAAAATACTACACAAATATTTATATTCATTGGATCATAACAGATGACACAGGAAATGAAATGTGCAGGAGCCATATCATCAGCAGACGGACTTATATCTAATGAGTGCTTTATCAAGCATTCAATGATCTAGACCTTACTAAACCATACAATGGACTTTTCCTAAATTGTTCCTTTTAGTACCAATTTCAAATTCTAATTTTGTTGAGGCTGTTGATGCCAGAAATACAATATTCATAGCTCAACACTTTTGACTTTCAAAAAAAATTAACACAAAAGAGGCAGGTTATAGTAATTTTTAAATGCAAAAGAATTGTATTTCACTAATTAATGTAAGAATGAAATATATTAGCTTTGTCTTTCAAAGAAAACAAACTTAAACCACATTAGATGTAGTACATAGTGACTCTAATGTTTCTGAAATGTCTTGTAGTATATCAACCTACACACAAAATTTAACAAAAGTAACAAAGTTGAATTTTATAATTTAAACCAACATGTATACTTGTAAGGGTAACATTAAATTTAAGAAGTTAACCCTTTCAACGCTATACACGGCATATGCCGCGATGACGTCCGCCACTGCTATTCGCGGCATATGCCGCAATGACAATGGGTTTTTCATCCAGACTCTTAAACCATTCGGTTTTCATTCATGTCCTCTCTAATTTTTCCTTTGTGTAAATTGAAGATAAACAAGGTCCCGTTTGCCCTTGAAATCCCGTTTTTTTTTATGGTAAAATCATGCAGCAGAAGGAAAATAGAAGGAAACTAAAAACAAATATTTTGACAAATGCAAATGGCGGAAATCGGAAAAGACGCTGTAAATATGGAAATATTTCAGCATTTCTATGGCGATACTGACAACAAGGATTAGTTAAAAGGTTTCCCGTTATCTCAATGTATTTATTACATTCAATTCGTGTGGGAAATATGATTCAATCAATCTATACGAGACGTAGAAAAAGGGGGGAAACGGAGGTTGACTGAAAATTTTGAGGACGGAGCCACTTATTTGCGCCACGATTACATTATACGTTGTGTATGGTGCAATACGCTACGGAATCGAGTAACTGGTGTCTTCTTTATTATATGGCAGAAAAAACAACAAAATAAATGAAGATTAAAAGTCGTTTTTTTCAAAATTCAACACAAATACAACAATTTACACCTTTTACCTGTTAATCACCTGAAAATGCAGGTAGCCTGATAAAAATTTTACTAAAATAATTGCATAACATTACAGTTCATGCTCTCCTGAGCATTTTTCATGCACTAACTTTGTCTGTATCTCTTATAATAAAAAAGATACAGCAGTCTGAAAAGGAATATACTGTTCTAATGAATGAACACAAAAAAAATGCAGCAGCAGCAGCCATTTTTCTATTTTTTTGTGTAGCGTTGAAAGGGTTAAGATTAACCTGTGAATGAATAAAACATAAACCCATCACCTACCTGGTCGACTCTTGAAATAATAAGGAGAACAAACGTCTTTTTTTACCAAATCTTTTGATGACTGAAATGTAAATTGAAAGTTAATGCCTAAATGCTGCTTCTGGGTGAAGTGCAACCCAAAACAGCTAAAAAAAAATAAAATTTGAGCTTATTCTCATTTCCATCTATCCAAAACTGTTCTGATTGAAATCTTAATTCATCCTTTTTTTCTGAAAGACAATGAAGACAAATACTGCCAAATCCATATGTTAAAAAATTTCTGGATATCAACCTTTCTTGCTTTTATTTTTCACATTATATAAATAAGTATGTTATAATATCATGAAAAAAAAACAATTGTGACCTGCAGTTATTGCAATTATAATAACTTGATTTGCATACAATGGACCAGATCATATTGTAAACAAGAATATATCCATAGTACACGGATGCCCACTCGCACTATCATTTTCTATGTTCAGTGGACCGTGAAATTGGGGTAAAAACTCTAATTTGGCATTAAAGTTAGAAAGATCATATCACAGGGAACATGTGTACTAAGTTTCAAGTTGATTGGACTTCAACTTCATCAAAAACTACCTTGACCAAAAACTTTAACCTGAAGCGGGACAGACGGATGAACGGATGCACAGACCAGAAAACATAATGCCCCTACTACTATCGTAGGTGGGGCATAACAACACCTGTCTATTGTTGTCCTTTATAGGTTTTTTGTTATTTGTGTCTTTGAATTTCTGTCTCATTGAGGAATATCCCATATATCCTTTTTGTTCATACTGATCAGAATAACTCATAGTTGATGATATATCACATCTAGATAACAATCTTAATTACACAGTGCATACAAAAAGACTTCAATGTGGTGATGTTTCTAATTTATGCAAAGTACAACAGGCACTCAAAATGGAGTGGATTATGGATATTAAGCAAACAAACAATCAATAGAATGGATAAATTCATTGGAAACTCTTTCATTTACAGCTCTTTTCATAATGCTAGCAAGACAAAGGTTTGTTTGACTTGCTTGCTTTGTTTGTATAAATGTTTGCTCAAGCATTGTAATTAAGATTGACATCTGAAAACAATATAAGAAGGCGGAGTTAAACCTGTGTATAGGTAAATTTGATTATTTGATAATGTCCAATCAAATTTAAATATAATGTATACAAGTTTAAATCTGCCTTTTTATGTTGTTTCAGATGTCAATCTTAACTACAATGCTTGAGCAAACATTGATACAAACAAAGCAAGCAAGCCAAACAAACCTTTGTCTTGCTAGCATTATGAAAAGAGCTGTAATACGCCTTATTGATTCATTTCAATAAATGTATCTTACCTCACTTGTACCTATAAATTCAGGTTTACAATATTTTGACTCAAACTGACTCTTGCCTAATATTGGATTGTATATAAAGTTGCTTCCAGGACATTCAGCTACACAAATCTGTAAGCAAAACAATCTTATTCATTGAAGTGTACATACAAATAAGGAAAATTTTCAATTAAATGATGATGATAGATAGCTATTTCACGTCCAGTGGCAAATAAAAGCATATTTAGGACAATAAATATGTTATGCAATTTGAATATGAACCCTGCTTTGTACTTAACCAACATGCTGAGCTAGATTCTTAATGTGCTAGTTCACAAGGTAACTGGAGGAAGACAAGTCCCACTTTCCAACATATTATTTTGCTCTTACTCCTTAATGCTGTGTACTTAGCAGAGAACCAGCAAAATCCAATTTTCAATTCTTTGGTGAAACCTGGCGAGGGATCAAACCCAAAACCTCAAGCACTCATTTTCAAGAGCAAATGCAGATCTTTGATAGTCTGTTATAAAAACTTATCCACTTATTTTTATTTTGGGTGATATCCATATATATCATGGTACTTTGAAAACGAGTAGTCTTTCGTCGATTGACAGAGTTGTCTTTTCATCAATACAAATGGCGGTCGGACATGAAAAGTTATACGGTCAATTTAAGAGAGAAAAAAGCTTCAGACTGGCCATAAACGATGTTTAAATGACAAAAATTATTTTTCGTATACTCAAAAAGACTCGGTCATAACGATTTGTCAAATATAATCCATTTAAATTACATTTCTTATGTATTCAAAGTACTTCTGAGTATCGACATTTTGGCAACATTGAAAGAACAAGGTAACAAAATCAAACTTTCAAGCATTGTTGCGACATTAATTTTCATTCTGTTGCTAAAAATTTAGAGAAATATCTTACAGAACAATTGTTTGTACTTCTTTATCAGTTATTTTGGCGATCTGTGCCCATACATGTGATGGACTGTGAAACTCAGATCAGGAGATTGGGAAATTTTGGTCAGGAGATTAGGACTCAGATCAGGAGGTTTTTTATCGACATAAATTTTTGTCGTAAATGTAACCGTATGATGTAGAAATTGTCTTTTAAAGTTGTTTTTTTTCAACCTTCCATCCAATGTAATGTGTTTATAGTACCTTTGTAGCCTTTCTATGCCAATGATATCACATTGCTGAAAGAAATATTGAGAAGATTCTGTTTCTTGCTTTGTTTTTGATAATTGATTGTTGACTGCTTGTAAATAAAGCGCTATGACCTTTTCTTTGTGTATAGATTTGTATTCATGTCTCCATCTCCTTTTATTTGTATTTAATATCATTGGAATAGATAAATAAGAAAGAAATATGCTATACATTTATAACATGATAAAAAGATGAAAAAAAAAATAACAAACAATAACAAAGCATTTAGAAAGTCATTTTTCTAGAAAACTTAAAGACTCAAACAGTGTAAAATATTTTACTATTTTTAGCTAAATCAATGTCTATATACCATTGACAAATATTATTTAATAACTGAATCACTGGTCTTTTGACACTGGGTCATGTAAGAAGTACAACTGTACAAGCTGACTTGGCTGCTTTCAATAAACTTGACTCTGCACTAAATACATAAAGTAATCCTGATCCTGGTAACAGTTTGTTGATTTTTATACTCAGGATGCTGTGAATTGTCTTTGAGTCAATGTTTTCTGCTGTCAGTTTGGATCTTGTTGAGCATGATGAAAATCCTTTAATGTACGCATTGGAGTGCGAAATAGGTAGATTTTTTGTTTTTTTAATGAGTTGAAAGTTAATTAAATGTTTTTTCGGCTTCAAAACCTTCCAATATAGGCAATAATGTTTTGACAACAACATTCCACTTTTCAAATGTCTTTTCTATCATCAGCTGATCATTGCCGGTATTTCCCTTTAATCATCCATTGCATGTGCCATAGACAGAAGCCAAATTGATTAATTAATATTCTATCACCTGAGCTGACACCTGTTTATTATGCAATCAAACTATTTTCACTTGTTACATGTAATTAGCCGCCAGGTAAAAATCAACACGTGTTGTGTATAAATCAGGTAATTGTCAGTTACACCGGATATGTTCGGTACTCTCTGGTTTTTTCGTCTTCAATAACAAACATTTGTAAACATTGTAGTAAAAAAAATGGCACCTGAAATTTTCATTCATGAAATATTTTATACACGGGATTTTTTTCTCTTCAACGGGAGGGCAGGAGGAGACCCCTGAAAACGGGATTATTGTACTCCCGTCAGTAGGTTCACATGTCTGTCTGCTTGTGTTCTCGAGTTACAGCATATATTTCAAGTTGCAACTTTTCTCGGAGCACCGGTCACGAAATTAATTTAGGCTGGGCAATTGGCGCATGCAAATTATCCTAGGCCACAGAAACCCGTGGAAAATATAAAATCAGTGATGAAAGTGTTAAAGTTTTACATTTTGAAAAGACGCCTGTCTATAGTTGAAAACTGTATGTTGAACTCTAGATGTCTATTAGGTTTTTTTCATGTTGTAAGGTTGCTGTCTCATTGATGTTTACCCCACACCTTCTTTTGTTAATATTATACCTTACCTGAGGTGTGGGACATCCAGTAACGAATACTCCTACCCCCATTCTACCACAAGAAACAAGGTCGAAGAAAAACAGATAATTCTTCCCTCTAAAATCGAAAAATAGTTTGAACAAAAATTTAATATCTTAAACAACTTCAATCAGCTCCATACTGTATTTATTATGCTCTAATAACTGGGGTGATTAGAAACTCATCAAAGAGTTACTAATCCTAAGAATTTGTTCTGTAAGTGAAAATATGATACACAATATTGTAAACCAAACAATTTCCTCGATTTATGAGTAGAAATACAACTGAATATAAATTATCCCTAACATGTCAAACATGGATGTTCTTTATTTAATACACTATGAATTTGAGGTGACAATCCTGAAAAATTAATTACTGCAAAATCGACCAGAAAGAGCTAAATGCAAACTAGAGGCTCTCAAGAGCCTGTGTCGCTCACCTGTATTTACTGATGCTTTGGAAATCATGTAAAATAAGGTTAAAATCATAATTAATAGTATTAGATATTAGATATTATAAAGATATCTAAGATAATAACAAAAAACTGCAAAATTTTTGTAAAATTACTAACTCAGGGGCAGCAACCCAACAACGGGTTGTCGGATTCGTCTGAAAATTTTAGGGCAGATAAATCTAAATCTGATGAACATTTTTGCCACCTGTCAGATTTGCTCTAAATGCTTTAGTTTCAGAGATATAAACCAAAAACTGCATTTTACCCCTATGGTCTATTTTTAACAAAGTCGGCCATGATGGTTGGAAGGCGGGGTCATCGGACAAATTTTTTAAACTAGATACCCTAATAATGATTATGGCCAAGTATGGTTAAATTTGTCTCAGTAGTTTCAGAGAAGAAGATTTTTGTAAAAGATTACAAAAATTTACGAAAAATTGTTAAAAATTGACTATTTAGGGCAATAACTCCTAAAGGGGTCGACTGACAATTTTGGTCATGTCAACTTATTTGTAGATCTTACTTTGCTGAACATTATTGCTGTGTACAGTTTATCTCTATCTATAATAATATTCAAGATAATAACCAAAAACTGCAAAATTTCCTTAAAATTACCAATTCAGGGGCAGCAACCCAACAACAGGTTGTCGGATTTGTCTGAAAATGTCAGGGCAGATAAATCTTGACCTGATAATCAGTTTTACTCTTGTCAGATTTACTCTAAATGCTTTGGTTTCAGAGATATAAGCCAAAATCTACATTTTACCCCTATGTTCTATTTTTAGCCATGGCGGCCATCTTGGTTAGTTGGCGGGGTCATCGGACACATTTTTTAAACTAGATACCCTAATGATGATTGTGGCCAAGTTTGGTTAAATTTGGCCCAGTGGTTTCAGAGGAGAAGATTTTTGTAAAAAGCTAACGACGACGGACGACGGACGCCAAGTGATGAGAAAAGCTCACTTGGCCCTTAGGGCCAGGTGAGCTAAAAAGTATACGCAAAAATAAGTTAGTATTCAGTAACACATTCCTATATTTATTGTGAACCAAATGAAACTTTTCCACAGATTCATCTCCTATTGTTCATTCTATTTAAACTTTTGTCAGTTCTATTGTCCCATTGAATAAATGAAAGGGCTTTTCTTTTTAATGGTCTCAGCTGGCTTCCCGAAGGCTGCGAGTTGGACTTAAAACTATTGGTTTTTGGAAAGAAACTCTTTCCTATGATCAAAATGTGCAAATTGTTAAACAAGTATTCAATTTTATAAAGAGATCAAAACGATTCCTCGTAGTATAGTATCAGCATAGGTAAAACGCACATCATCATCATTATCATCATCATCCTAATCTCTGTCGTTCTTTCCTCATTCCCTCTCCTTTTTTCAGTATAATTTAGTTATATTTATGTTGTTTATATTATATGATGCATGCTCATGTTCAATTTGTATTGTTATATATATTGTATTGTGGAGAAGACTTTATAATAAAATTGAGAATGGAAATGGGGAATGTGTCAAAGAGACAACAACCCGACCACAGAACAGACAACAGCAGAAGGCCACCAACAGGTCTTCAATGCAGCGAGAAATTCCCGCACCCGGAGGCGTCCTTCAGCTGGCCCCTAAACAAATATATATACTAGTTCAGTGATAATGAACGTCATACTAAACTCCAAATTGTACACAAGAAACTAAAATTAAAAATAATACAAGACTAACAAAGGCTAGAGGCTCCTGACTTGGGACAGGCGCAAAAATGCGGCGGGGTTAAACATGTTTATGAGATCTCAACCCTCCCCCTATACCTCTAGCCAATGTAGAAAAGTAAACGCATAACAATACGCACATTAAAATTCAGTTCAAGAGAAGTCCGAGTCTGATGTCAGAAGATGTAACCAAAGAAAATAAACAAAATGACAATAATACATAAATAACAACAGACTACTAGCAGTTAACTGACATGCCAGCTCCAGACTTCAATTAAACTGATTGAAAGATTATGTCTTCATCATATGAATATCAGGCACAATCCTTCCCGTTAGGGGTTTAGTATCATACCATCATAACATATATGAGAAGAACATAACCCGTGTCATGCCAACAACTGGTTTTTAAATAAATGTGTTTAGTGCAGATGCAAAGACCTTATAAGTGAATCAATATCAACGCCAAAATATGCAATCTTTAATGACCTGACAACAGTATCGTAACTATATCCCTTCTTAATAAGTCTATTTAAAGGTTTTGTTAGTTTCAGAGGTGAATACTGACATTTTTGTGCTTTATAAAGAATATTTCCATAAAAAATTGGATGTGAAATACCTGAACGTATAAGAAGTCTGCATGTTGAGCTATATTTACGAATGATGTCCTTATACCGATGATAAAATTTAGTAAATGTTTTGACTAGTTTGTGATATCGAAAACCCTGGTGTAATAATTTTTCAGTAATACATACATTTCTCTCGTTAAAATCTAAAACATTGTTACATACACGAGCGAATCGTACAAGTTGAGATATATAAACACCGTAAGATGGTGACAAGGGAACGTCACCATCTAAAAATGGATAATTAACGATAGGAAATGAAAAATCATCTCTTTTATCATATATTTTAGTATTAAGCTTTCCGTTAATGATATAGATATCAAGATCGAGGAAAGGGCAGTGGTCATTGTTAGTATTAGCTTTATTTAAAGTAAGTTCAACAGGATAAATTTCTTTAGTATACATACTGAAGTCGTCATTATTGAGAGCCAAAATATCATCCAAATATCTAAAAGTATTATTAAATTTGTGTATCAGATGTTGTTTCGATGGGTCTTTACTGATTTTTGTCATAAATTGTAACTCATAGCAATACAAAAAAAGGTCCGCAATAAGTGGTGCACAGTTAGTCCCCATTGGAATTCCGATAACCTGACGATATACGGAATCTCCAAAGCGAACAAAAATGTTATCTAGTAAAAATTCAAGGGCATATATAGTATCAAAGCATGTCCAATTGACATAGTTTTTTTGTTTATTGCTACTAAAAAATGACCTAAAAGAGTTTGAACATATATATTCACATTCTGACTTTTTAAATGCCCATTTAATTAGGTGTGTGAATTTTTTCTTAATGAGAATGTGAGGCAATGTGGTATATAGGGTAGAAAAATCAAAACTTTGAACAGATTCAAAATCACCAATATATGCATGCAATTTATCAAGTACTTCCAACGAGTTCTTGACACTCCAAAAGTAATTAATTCCACTATTTTCGAAGGCCTTATTTGAACAATTTATTATCAGGTTTTTGATTGTACCAAGTGTACTGGTAAGAAGAATAGACAATTTAGTAGTGGAACAATGGCTTGAAGACGAAATGAATCTATATTTGTAAGGTGTTTTGTGTAGCTTCGGAAGCCAATACATAGTTGGGACTTTCATTGTATTTGGTTCTGCTTGTAAAGCGGTAGCTAAAAGTTTATAAGTATGTTTTACTTGTGTCTGATCCTTTTTTGCTTTGAGCAAATAAAATATGTTTAAACTAAAATTAAATTGAATAAATACAATAGCTATTGTTCTCTGTGTAGTTTACTCATTGGGACCTTTAAATTACTTCTTTAGGGAAATCCATCACTCATTGATTCATTTACCAGAGTAAAAAAATGTTTTCTAAATAGATGGAAACACATGTTTCAACTCAAAAAACTTCATGTGATGTTGTATTTATTCAATATCAATAATATATTTTCAATCTGTTCAATGATGACAGAAGTGGAAGAGTTTCTTTTGGTTTGCAATAACATTTAAATTACATTCAAAGGCAACAGAACTTGTGAATTTGAAAATCATTAATCTTTAAAATTTCAAAAATGAAAACAGTAGCTAAAAATTTTATTCTTCAAAGTTTCTTTTATTCAATCTTGTCAACTATAATAAACTGTTGAGACAGAGATATATCTCACCTAAATGTAATCTTGATAGTAAAATGCAACTGTTGAAATCAAAATAGCAATACTTTGAATAACATGTAAAATATGCAAAATATTCAAAGTCAATGAACCATGACTAAAGGTACACAGCAAAATAATTTCTATGGAAATAAGATGTGCCAATGCTAATACAACTGCATACCAAAATATCATTGACATATCATAAGTGGTTTCTAATTAAACTTACCTAATCACCAACTTCAACATGTAAACTAAGCAAAAGTTCCACAATCATTGTACCATGACTTAGGGGGCAGAGCAATATAAGCTCCATGGAAATGCTAATGCTAATACAACTTCTTACCAAATATCATTCACTTACCATTGAGTGTTTATCTTAAACAACTATGCAAATAAAGTTGCAAAAGTCAATATACCATGACTGAGGGCGCTTGGCCACATAATCTGTGTGGAAATGATAGTACAACCTCATACCAAATACCATTGTCTTATCGTAAGTGGTTCCCCTAAAACTGACCTAATCACAAAGTTGAACATGTAAACTATTCAATAGACCATGACAGAGGCCTCAGGGCCAAAAAATCTCTGTGGAAATGAAATGTGCAAATACTTATATGACTGTATACTAAATATTATTGACTTAGCATAAGTGGTTGCCCTTAAATTGACCTAATCACAAACTTCAACATGTAAACTAAGCAAAAAGTTCAAAGTCATGACATGAGGGGTGAGGGTTAAATAATCTCAAGTAATTGAGATGTGCCATGCTGCTACAACTGCATACCACATTTCATTGTATCATTATTAGTGGTTCTTCTTAAACTGACCTAATCACAAACTTTTAACATTTAAACTATTAAGCAATTGTATTAAAGTCAATAAACCATGACTGAGGCAGCCGAGCGAAATAATCTTCATAGTAATAAGATGTGAAAATACTAATTCAACTGCATACCAAATATTGCTGATTTACCATAAGTGGTTCCTTTCAAACTGACCAAATCACAAACTTTAACAAATTGTTGACACCACAGCCAATGCAGAAAAGAACAGGCCTTAGTCTTGCTTTTTTACCCTGTCAAGGTGAGAGAAAAACCTCATTAATGATTAACAGTTTGAAAATCAGAAAATTTAATTATCTTTGAAAGGATAAGACTTACATATGTTTTCCATAACCACAAAGCTCATTGTCTGAGTTCACTGGATACAACAACAGTTTGGGATCTCCATATTTAAAAGCTGCAAAGAGAAATACTTGAATAGATTATCTCCCTTTTAAGACAATGAAACAAAATTTTTCAAACAACTGCATTGTTTGGGATTAAAAAAAATTTTTAAACTTATTCTGAAATGCTCATTCTACATATGATTCTTCAAAAATAAGTTTAGATAATTTTCCTGAAAATTCTATCTTGCATTTCATTTGCCAAAATTTATACCTGCTTTCTCCTGACCCTTTAGCATTTTTATGAAGGTATAGTGTTGTACAAGTAAAATGCAAAACAAAATCTATACTTTATATTGGAGATACAAAAGTGAAATATTTTGGAATTAAATAAAATTTAGTAGTGTATATATATATAAGCGGATAAAGGGAATGCGGTTGTAATCATGGACCGTGAGTATTACCGAGATAAAATTTTAAATATGTTACAAGATGAAATGTTTTATGAGGTGACAGATAAAAAAATGGACAAACAAACAAGTACAATGATTAAAAAGTTACTAGATAAACATAAGACTGAATTGTATAAAGAAGAGATAGATTACATTTCAAACTCTAAATTTTCAGAAAGCTATTTCTATAGTTTACCTAAAATTCACAAAAGTGAGGAAATTTCAAATGCGGTATCAGAACAAAACAGTGAATTCATCGAACTTTTAAGACCAAATGATTTAAAATTTCGACCTATTGTGGGCGGACCCAACAGCGTCACACAGAATTTAAGACATTTTATAGACATTGTGATTAAACCTTTATGTCGTGAAGTTCCTAGTTTTATACGAGACGATTTGGAATTTTTAAATCATCTACCAACAACTGTAAATCCTAATTCAGAACTCATTACTTTTGATATTGTCAGTCTTTACACAAATATCCCACATGACTTAGGAATTACAGCCGTACAATATTGGTTAGAAAATACGGAAAACGTCATTGAAAACAGATTAACAAAAGAATTTATCCTTGCATCTTTGAAACTTATATTAGAAAGAAATATTTTTTACTTTGACGGCACATACTATCATCAGAAAAAAGGAACAGCTATGGGTACTAAAATGGCGCCTTCATACGCCACTTTAGTACTTGGATATTTGGAACAATTATTATACGAAAAAATGGACCATAAATACGGAAATGACTTTGCCATTTACCTACGTCAAAACTGGAAACAATTTCTTGACGATTGTTTTATAATTTGGAATTCGGATATATCTGTCTCAGATTTTCATTCTGATTTAAATTCTTTAAACCCACATATTCGTTTCACAATTAACAGAAATGTCAACAAAATGCCGTTTTTGGATATTTTAGTACTTATAACGGAAGACAATGAAATTGTCACAGATATCTTTTCTAAAGACACCGATACACATATGTATTTAAATTTTTACTCAAATCATCCAAAACATGTAAAATTAAATATACCTTTTAATCTAGCGTCAAGAATAATTACCATTACAAGTACAGAACTATTACGCAATAAAAGATTGGAAGAATTAAAAGAGTATTTAAACTAGAGGCTCTCAAGAGCCTGTGTCGCTCACCTGTATTTACTGATGCTTTGGAAATCATGTAAAATAAGGTTAAAATCATAATTAATAGTATTAGATATTAGATATTATAATGATATCTAAGATAATAACAAAAAACTGCAAAATTTTTGTAAAATTACTAACTCAGGGGCAGCAACCCAACAACGGGTTGTTGGATTCGTCTGAAAATTTCAGGGCAGATAAATTTAAATCTGATGAACATTTTTGCCACCTGTCAGATTTGCTCTAAATGCTTTAGTTTCAGAGATATAAACCAAAAACTGCATTTTACCCCTATGTTCTATTTTTAACCAAGTCGGCCATGATGGTTAGAAGGCGGGGTCATCGGACAAATTTTTTAAACTAGATACCCTAATAATGATTATGGCCAAGTATGGTTAAATTTGTCTCAGTAGTTTCAGAGAAGAAGATTTTTGTAAATCTTACAAAAATTTACAAAAAATTGGTAAAAATTGACTATTAAGGGCAATAACTCCTAAAGGGGTCAACTGACAATTTTGGTCATGTTGACTTATTTGTAGATCCTACTTTGCTGAACATTATTGCTGTTTACAGTTTATCTCTATCTATAATAATATTCAAGATAATAACCAAAAACTGCAAAATTTCCTTAAAATTACCAATTCAGGGGCAGCAACCCAACAAGAGGTTGTCAGATTTGTCTGAAAAATTACAGAAGATAGATCTTGACCTGATAATCAGTTTTACCCTATGTCAGATTTACTCTAAATGCTTTGGTTTCAGAGATATAAGCCAAAATCTACATTTTACCCCTATGTTCTATTTCTAGCCATGGCGGCCATCTTGGTTGGTTGGCGGGGTCATTGGACACATTTTTTAAACTAGATACCCTAATGATGATTGTGGCCAAGTTTGGTTAAATTTGGCCCAGTGGTTTCAGAGGAGAAGATTTTTGTAAAAAGCTAACGACGACGACGACGACGACGATGACGGACGCCAAGTGATGAGAAAAGCTCACTTGGCCCTTCGGGCCAGGTGAGCTAAAAAGCAGCAATATCCGGAACAAGTGATAGATTACGGAATTCAAAAGGCACTGATAAAAGGACCAGTCATTACAGAATCACGGCGATCCGAAACAACCTAAGAATCATCAAACAGTTTAGACAAAATTATCCCGTTTGTCACAACATATAACCCACGAGATTATGATATATTTAGTTTCATGCGACAAATTGAAAATAATTTACACAAAAGTGAAAAAATGGACAAAGTATTACAAAAAAAGAAGATTATCAACAGTAAAAGACAGTCAAAAAGTCTAAAACGATATTTAACATCTTCAAAATTCGACTTTAATGAAACTTTGCCTATTGTTAGAAAATGTACCGATAAACGATGTATGACATGTCCAGATTAAATAGAAGAAAGTTCAATTTATTTAAAAAATGGAAAGCATTTCACAGTCAAACAAAGTATGTCTTGTAAAAGTTCAAACGTCATTTATTCTCTCATATGTTCAAATTGTGAGGAATTTTATATTGGAGAGACAAAAACAGAACTGCGGACTAGAATGACTGTACATAGACAGCAAACCAACCATGAAGATTTAACAATCATCAGGGCTAACGACCATTTCCATCGTTGTTCTAATGGACGATTTAAAATATTTCCGTTGTATATGGTCAATCGTCAAAATGATTTTCTCCGGAAGAAGAAAGAAGAATTATTCATAAACATTCTCAACCCGGGATTAAACGATAAATAATATTTTGATTTTTACGAAACATTTTAAAGACTTTACTCCAATTTAAAAATGACATTAGTAGTCTCCCTTGTATTTGTTAACGTCATACTATTGTTAACGTCAATCAATTGTTTTATAACATTTATGTATACAAGTCACATTACCTGAAGATCTGTGAAAGCAGTGAAAGCGCGAGTAAAAGTGATGAATTGAAACTGTCATTATCTTATATTAATTTTCTTATATATATATAAATATATATATACAAGTCTAAATTGAAAACAACGTTCAAACCTATGATTGCGTTGGATAAAAACCGCAATTTTTATACGTGTGCATGCAAAACAAATTTCTTGTTAGAGGGGTCTAAATACAGCACAAACAACATTTTCAAAAGACAAAAAAGTGAAAAAGTATATTTTAACAAAACGCATTTGACTAACAGGTCGAACAACAAATGTTCTTAAACCCTGCTGACTGCCATTGGCGATTGCCAAATAAACGGATCACCGATGTAATAAATGGATCTTAATTATAAATGTAATACTAAACAGAAAACAATAAACTTGCGGAAAAGATGGTATATCGCAAACAAAAGGTGCAAAGGTTTTTGTACACCATATCCAGATTTCGACAATTAATGTCTCTTCAGTGATGTTAGGAATCGAAACGGTATTTGGAAAGCCATACAATTTACCTCAATTTAGAATAGACTCTTGAATTTTGAGGAGTCAAAATAGGTTCATTGTATGGCTTTCCAAATACCGTTTCGATTCCTAACATCACTGAAGAGACATTAATTGTCGAAATCCGGAAAACCTTTGCACCTTTTGTTTGCGAAATACCATCTTTTCCGCAAGTTTATTGTTTTCTGTTTAGTATAACATTACAATTAAGATCCATTTATTACATCGGTGATCCGTTTATTTGGCAATCGCCAATGGCAGTCAGCAGGGTTTAAGAACATTTGTTGTTCGACCTGTTAGTCAAATGCGTTTTGTTAAAATATACTTTTTCACTTTTTTGTCTTTTGGAAAATGTTGTTTGTGCTGTATATATATATATATATATAGAAGTCTATAAAAAGGACCAACCAGCAAATTTACTATGTACCGGATCGTCTAGAATAGACGATACTGTGCAGATAAGGAAAAAAATTATATAAGTCTAGAGATTTGCACAACGATACTAATATAAGATGGTATTATACGAAGATGTTGTTAATAAATCGTGTTGACAAATATTTCGGCTTAACAAATATAGCCTTCTTCAGTGTCAATTATTTTAACAATACTGATTATATGTATAAAAATAGCTCAATAATATAGGTAAGTTTTGGTCTATTGATTTAATCCAAAATCCTGAACATCATAATATAAAACAAAACTCAATACTCAAATATACATGACTGTGTATATTTACATCCCAAAATGAGTGAAAAATAAAAACTTAGTATTTTTTATTGATGCCGTTTGGATGATGTACATTTAGTTCCTTTATCCAAAAGCTTTCCCGAACCTGTCGCTGGGCATCACTCCAGTGAATGTTCTGTTCAATCACTAGGATCTTCATGCGGTTAAAGTCATCAAGTGTGTGACCAGACTGTCTGAAATGCTGAGAAACTGGGAGAAGTGGCTTCTTAGAGATATCACTCCTATGGCCGTTGAGGCGTTTGTGGAAAGGCTGCTTTGACTCGCCAACATATTGGAGGCCACAAACCGAACATTCTAGAATGTAAATAACATTCATACTTTTGCAGTTAACATTGCAAAATATCTTATAGTTATTTTCGGTTACCTTACTGTGAAATATGTAAAGAAGTTTGGAATTCCCGACCAGTGAAATATCCACCTACTGAATGCCTGGTCAAAATGCTCACGCTTGTACTCAAAAACAACAACTTCACTTTTGATGGAGACCATTATCTGCAAGTTAATGGAACTGCTATGGGCACCAAAATGGCTCCATCATATGCCAACATATTTATGGGCAAATTAGAAAAACAACTCCTTGAATCTTCCATCGAAAAACCGCTCCTGGTTTAGATTTATAGATGATGTGGATATGAAATGGAATAAAAGCGACGAGGATTTAGATACATTCATCACTCATGCCAACAACATACATCCAAGTATCAAATTTACTCATGAGAAATCTAAATCCAAAATCACCTTCCTTGATACCTCCAGCTCGCTCACAGATGGCATCATATCCACTGATCTATATTCTAAGCCTACTGACACTCACCAATATCTGTCCCCTAAAAGTTGCCATCCTGCTCATTGTACTAAGAGCATCCCGTACAGTCAGGCACTCAGAGTCAAGCGAATATGTTCCAACTCAGAAACAACTAAAAAACAACTACGTCAACTCGAAACCCGCTTGAAAAGAAGGGGCTACAAACACAGAACTATCCAAAAAGGCTTTCAGAAAGCGGAAACTATTCCAAGGAGTAAACTGTTAGAATACAAATATAAAAAGAAAAATAAAAGGACTCCATGTGTTCTTACTTACCACCCATCTCTCAAAAACAGCTTCGGTGGCATTCGTGAGCATTGGAAAACAGTTGAAAAGAATTCCAAACTATCCAAGATTTTTCCCGAGCCTCCCATGATAGCTTTAAGGCAACCCAATAGTCTGCGTAACCTGCTGGTGCGGGCTGAAATGTCTGATAATAGAAGTACTTCTGGAGAATGTCATTCGTGTGATGAAAAACGCTGCAAATGCTGCCTACAGATGCATCACTCATCAACTTTTCACAGTAAGGCAACCGAAAATAACTATAAGATATTTTGCAATGTTAACTGCAAAAGTATGAATGTTATTTACATCCTAGAATGTTCAGTTTGTGGCCTCCAATATGTTGGTGAGTCAAAGCAGCCTTTCCACAAACGCCTCAACGGCCATAGGAGTGATATCTCTAAGAAGCCACTTCTCCCAGTTTCTCAGCATTTGAGACAGTCTGGTCACACACTTGATGACTTTAACCACATGAAGATCCTAGTGATTGAACAGAACATTCACTGGAGTGATGCCCAGCGACAGGTTCGGGAAAGCTTTTGGATAAAGGAACTAAATGTACATCATCCAAACGGCATCAATAAAAAATACTAAGTTTTTATTTTTCACTCATTTTGGGATGTAAATATACACAGTCATGTATATTTGAGTATTGAGTTTTGTTTTATATTATGATGTTCAGGATTTTGGATTAAATCAATAGACCAAAACTTACCTGTATTATTGAGCTATTTTTATACATATAATCAGTATTGTTAAAATAATTGACACTGAAGAAGGCTATTTGTTAAGCCGAAATATTTGTCAACATGATTTATTAACAACATCTTCGTATAATACCATCTTATATTAGTATCGTTGTGCAAATCTCTAGACTTATATATATATATATATATATATAAGTCTATAAAAAGGACCAACCAGCAAATTTAATATGTACCGGATGGTCTAGAATAGACGATACTGCGCAGATAAGGAAAAAATTATATAAGTCTAAAGATATGCACAACGGTACTAATATAAAATGGTAATATACGAAGATGATTTTATAATTCGTGTTGACAAATATTTCGGCTTAACAAATAGTCTTCGTCTTTGTCAACACCATTTATAACATCATCTTCGTATATTACCATCTTATATTAGTACCGTTGTGCATATCTTTAGACTTATATATATATACATATTGACTATATAGTTCAAGATTTTTTTAAATGAACACAATTTCTCAAAAAAAAGCATATGATTAACATGGCCAGTATACATTGGGAATACACTTATTGATTCTAATAACATACAATGGAATAATAAAATTTGATTTATATTTTACATGGAAATATTTCTATATTTTACTGAAAATCTTTCAAGTTGATCCAATGAACAAAACTTACCAAAGATTGCAACCACAACCAGACCTCCAATGAAGATCAGGAATAAAAGACAACAGATAATATCTGTACATGATCTGTAATAAATGTATAAGATTCAAAATTGACAGAAATTAAATATATGTAGGCCCACTGTAGTAAATGAAACAGGAAGATCAGGAATAACAAAGCAAATAGCTGTACATGATTTATAAAGATCAAGATTAACAGATATATAAAGTCCAAGATTAACAGATATATAAAGTCCAAGATTAACAGAGTCACTAATAAATATCTGCTAAGATCTAGTATAAAAGTCATTTGAATTAAGTATGAAATTATTAACTGGTGAAGCATTGATATGTCATGTGTATATCACAACCTATATTTATAAAATTGATAAAAGTTCCTGGTAAAAGAATATTGTTCAGGCAAGTCAGCAGCCTGTAATTCTGAAGTAGTCGTTTGTTGTTGTATATCTTTTTTTTTTTCGTGCATGGTTTTGTATGTAAATCAGGCCATTAGTTTTCTTGTTTGAATTGTTTTACATTTGTCATTTAGTGGCCTTTTATAGCTTACTATGTAGTATGGGTGTTGTTCATTGTTGAAGGCTGTACAGTGATCTAATCTATAGTTGTTAACTTCTACGTCATTTGGTCTCTAGTGGAGAATTGTCTCATTGGCAATTATACCACATCTTCTTATTTTTATGTAAAAAATTTAAACTCGGATGAAAAAATACAATCTATTATACCAAGTTACCAATTACTCAACAAAGGAGTGTTTGGGTTCAACAAATCATCTTCTACATACCTGTTTTTGATTGGCCCTTTAAAGTTTGGATCATACTTCAAGGGAGTTCCTGCAAGTAGAAAATGATATCATATAAAACCTTACAAATATTTTTGAAATATCACACATAAAGTGAATAATTTCGATACAGATATTTCAATAAATAATTAATGAAATTTTTTTTGAACAACCATTGTTTTTTGATTGACCTATTAAAATCAGATAAACCCAACTATTTCTTGGTCTTGAAGAAGCTGCTGTCCAAGTTCCATAACATGTCTTGCTGATGATTTTTGCTGTTAAAATTTCTGTCACATCTATAATGGCTTTCAAGATAATAGGCAAAAATGAAAAAAAAAATGTAAAATTCATTTAAGGGCAATAACTCCTATAAGAAGTTGTCTGACAGTTTGACATAAAATGGACATTAGGTAGAACTCACCATTCTGAAAGTTGCTGTCCCTGTCAGATTTTCTCTTTTTAAAGCTTTTATCAAAATAATAGACAAAACTTGCTTTTTACCCCTATGTTCTTTTTTTTTTATCCATGTCGGCCATCTTGGTTGGTAGGTGGGGTCTTTGGACACATTTTTCAAACAAAATACCCCAATGATGAGTGTGGCCAAGTTTGTTTAAATTTGGCCCATTTGTTTCAGAGGAGAAGATTTTTGTAAATGTTAACAGACAACATCGACCGACAATGACATACGCCAAGTGATGAGAAAAGCTCACTGGGCCTTTTTTTGGTCCATTTATCAATAAAATACAGGAAAGCAAAAAAAAGAAAAAAAAAAGAAATATTTTGCTCTGGATATCGATACTTTTTTGATTGTAAAAAAGCATGTGGCTAGGTTTCATACAATTCCATGAAGGTATGACATAATTATTGAATTTTAAATTTTTTTACCAGCAAACGAACTATTAATTAAAATGTTGACAATGGCGACAAGGCTGGAATGTAGGATTGTTGTCTTGCTTCCAACCCATAAAATATTGCAGGCTCGACAAAAAGGGGGAGAAGTATAGGAAGGAAGTGCTTAAGAATCAGGAAACCGAGCTACCAAGTTTCAACGTTTATTTTCCATAGATTTTGGCATTTTCTATTATAATGTTTTCCCTTCTCACAAACAGCAACTTATGAATACTGCTCAGTAATTTTATGTACAGTCAAAGTTCTACCAGTCTGATATAAAAACTCTCACCATGTGTTGGATCTGCCTCGTTCAAATTTTTTGAATCTATCTCATCTACATTATTTGAATCTCTCCCATCTATATTGTTAAATTCTATTTCATCTGCATTGCTTTCCTTGTTATCCATGGCTCAAATAAAACTTTAAATCATTGCCTAATCACAGTATAAATTTTCACATAAGTACCCAGCATCATTATTTTTGATAGAAAATACATAACCTCTTATTTCAAGTAAAAGTCGACCATATATGTATAAAGTTGACCAACAACACTTCCTTTCGGAAAGCAGATAAAAAACGACAATTAAAAAAACAACACTTCTAAAGTTACTCTTTCCTGTCAACTAAATGTTTTTTTTAAGTACATGTTGTTGAAAAAGACACAAATACACTGAAATCCTTCAATATATATATATCAATAGCCTTCTGTGTTTCCTGTACTTTATATAAACACGATAAATATGTTACATTTTCTGATCTTATAAATATGTTACATTTCCTATTCATGGAAATTAGTAACATTGATGTATTTTACATTAATCACTTTTCCATCCCAGTTTTAAGAAAACAGCCCTTTAATGACTTTATGTTTGATATTTTGCCATATGTCTAAGTAGGAAAATTCAGGCACTTCATAGTTTATGCTGTAACAGTTGGACATTACAAAAAAAAAAAAGGAACACTATTTTTTTTAATCTTAGTTATAATCTATAACAAGAGTGCACACGCTGAAATGTCTCGCCTTCTTTACTAATCATTGATATTATGTTGATAGTCCTAAATATAAAGCTTTATTACAACTGTCACATAAACTTAACATTAACCAAGTAAACTAAACATTGACCAATGAACCATGAAAATGAGGTCAAGGTCAGATGAACCATGCTAGGCAGGCATGTACAGCTAACAATTCTTCCATACAACAAATATAGTTGACCTATTGCTTATAGTTTAAGAAAAACAGACGAAAACACAAAAACTTAACACTGAGCAATGAACCTTGAAAATGAGGTCATGTCAAATAAAACCTGCGTGACTGACATATAGATCATAAAATATTTCCATACACCAAATATAGTTGAACTATTGCATATAGTATTAGAAAAAAAGACCAAAACTCAAAAACTTAACTTTGACCACTGAACCATGAAAATGAGGTCAAGGTAAGATGACACCTGCCAGCTAGACATGTACACCTTACAATCATTCCATACACCAAATATAGCTGACCTATTGCATGCAGTATTAGAAAAAAAGACCAAAACTCAAAAACTTAACTTTGACCACTGAACCATGAAAATGAGGTCAAGGTCAGATGACACCTGCCAGCTAGACATGTACACCTTACAATCATTCCATACACCAAATATAGTAGACCTATTGCATACAGTATAAGAAAAACAGACCAAAACACAAAAACTTAACTATAACCACTGAACTATGAAAATGAGGTCAAGGTCAGATGACACCTGCCAGTTGGACATGTACACCTTACAGTCCTTCCATACACCAAATATACTAGACCTATGCCGGATCGCTATCCCTATGTCGAGCTTTTTGCGACAAAAGTCGCAGGCTCGACAAAAATGATTTCTAATTCCTGCAAAGTTTTGTTCCAAAAGTTTTTAAAATTTTTGTAAAAGATTAACAATGGAGCAAAATGGAAAAACAGCAAAAAAGAATAAAAATCAGATGCTCAACACCAAACAAATATTAAACAAAAATAAATTACCAAACCGTTCAGTGAAACAGACACAAACAAGAATGTGTCCATAGTACACGGATGTCCCACTCGTACTATCATTTTCTATGTTCAGTGGACTGTGAAATTGGGGTCAAAACTCTAATTTGGCATTAAAATTAGAAAGATCATATCATAGGGAACATGTGTACTAAGTTTCAAGTTGATTGGACTTCAACTTCAACTTGATTCCAAGGCCGAACTTAGTTTTAAACTCATTTTAATGTATGGAAACATTTTTTTGTGTTTATACAAATACATTTACAAGAGAGGCGAAAGATACCAAAGGGACATTCAAACTCAAAAGTCTAAAATAAACTGACAACGCCATGGCTAAAAAAGAAAAAGACCAACAGACAAACAATAGTACACAAAACACAACATAGAAAACTAAAGACCAAGCAACACGAACCCCACCAAAAACTGGGGGTGATCTCAGGTGCTCTGGAAGGGTAAGCAGATCCTGCTCCACATGTGGCACCCATCGACCGTGCTGCTCATGTTAGTACAAACCCGGTAATAAGTCTAAATCGAATGGTCACATTCGGGGAAAAGGGTACTGGATTGTAGTTACGAGATTTGGAACATATCCACAATCATCTGTGAAACGGATATTCCATAACAGTCAACTAACTCGTGATGGCGTCCGTAAAATTTACGAAGGGGTGATTTCAACTTCACCACTTGGAACTCTTTGTTTCATAGCTTCCTTGTGAGCAGTACCGGTAACCCTCAATCAAGGAAATCATGATAGGAAATACAAGCCCTGGAATATTGTATCAACTGGGAGATATATACACGTACGTATGCAGGCTTTTCATATTAAGTTTATTCCTTTAAACTGATTCTGAACTTCAATTCTTTTTTCTAGCCTATTGCATTTTTGTACCATATAAAAATTGAGTATCATATTTTATCAGATTTTTTACATGTATTGAAAGTTCATCCCTTTTATCTGTCCAAGGGCAATAACTCAATGGTGTTCTTTGAGATTCTTTTGTAAAAACAAATATCCTACCAGAAATATAGGAGAGAGAGCTGTCAATGTATATTCGTTCCGCCTAACGAAAGTTCCACTGGACACTTTGTTATAAACTATGCCATAATATCTGTTCCTGTTGGAACAAATATTCTATAAGCTTCATTACGTAAGGAAAAAATACTGTAATATTTGTTCCAGTGGAAATAAAATATTTTTTCCACTTGAAACTTATATTATGAGGAACTTCTATTTCGTGACAGAGCACTATTAAAAAGCAATTTTTGTATGTTATTTTTTTTTCAAGGGGCATTACCCCTGTAAAAATAGTTAATAGGCGTTGATTATAAAACCTGTCCAAGACATTGATGATGTATATACCTTTGCTATAAATTTCATAAAAATCCAACAAGAAAATGCTATTTTCAATTTAAATTAAATTTCAAAAGGACATAATTCCTGTAAAAATAATTGATCGGAACTGCTTTTCCAAATTTTCCAAGACATAATATAATATATAATATTAATATATACAAGTCTAAATTGAAAACAAAGTTCAAACCAATGGTTGCATTGGATAAAAACTGCAATTTTCATACATGTGCATGTAAAACAAATTTCTTGGTAGAGGGTTTAAATACAACACAAACAACATTTTCCAAAAGACCAAAAAAGTGAAAAAGTATATTTTACCAAGCATTTGACTAGCAGGTCGAACAACGGATGTTCTTAAACCCTGCTGACTGCCATGGCGATTGCCAAATAAACAAATCACAAGATGTAACAAAATGGATCTATATATATATTTACATCATCTTTTGATATAAATTTAATAAAAATCTGGCAAGCATTGTATGAGTGAGAGCTCTTACAAGACAGAACATTGACACATAAACATGGCATTTTCTATGAACCCTAACTGGGTTGCAGCAAGGGAAAATTAGTTAGATATAGGCTGTAATGGTAACAGAACCATGTAAATATTCTGTTAAGATCAAGACACAGTCCTTTCCATTCAGTCAAAAATAACATTTGATCATATATCATTCAAAATGATAACCCAAATATGGTTCAAAGGATAGGCTTACTTCTAGATTAGACTTGTAAGCATAAAACCATTAATAAGATTAACAAATGATACCAAGAAGAAGCTACCAAGAGCCTGAATTGATCACCTGGTAAAAAAATATGCCATTTCGATATTTATTTTTTTCCTTGATTGCAATCAATTATATAATAATAAGTTGCACCAACTTTCAAGGGCAATAACTCCCATAAGCAGTCAATTGACAATTTCAGCCAAATTGACTTATTTTTTGTAGATCTTATTATACTGAACACCTTTGCTTATTACAATTTCTCTCTATAATATAGTTTCTGCAAAAAACACAACATTTGAGCAAAATATGTCTTTCAAGAGCAATAACTCCTATAACGGGTCAATTGACGATTCGTCCCTGTTGGCTTACTTGTAGATTATATTTTGTTGAACAATTTTACTATGGAAAGATTCTGTTTATATATCAACTAAAAACATGCAAAAAGGGTAAAAATCATCATTTATAGGCAATTCTGTAAGGGGTCATTGGAAGATTTCTGCCGAGGGCTTATTTGTAGATCTGAAAGTTCTAAACAATTTCACTGTTAAAAACTTTTCAGTATCTGTTATAGTTTTCAAGTTAATAACCAAAAATTGAAATTGCAAAAATATGACATTTCAGGGGCAACAACTCCAAAATGTTTTGTCAGATTTTTCTAAAAATTCATTCAGGGAGTGAAAGACCTTGACCTGCTGATCAATTTCATACACGTTAAATTTGCTCTAACTACTCTAATTTTTGATATATAAGCCAAAAACTTAGAAATTTACTAAAAATCAACATTTCAGGGGCAATAACTCTTAAATGAATTGTTCAATTTTTCTGAAAATTCTGCAGGTGATAGACTTTGACCTGCTGATAATTTTACCCATGTCAAATCTAAACCCATGTCAGATTTACTCTAATTGCTTTATTTTTTGAGATATAAGCCAAAAACTTTGAAATTTACTAAAACTAGATATTTCAGGGGCAATAACTCCTACATAAATTGTTGTATTTTTCTGAAAATTCTGCAGGTGATTGACCTTCACCTGCTGATCATTTCTACTCCAACAGATTTGCTCTATCTGCTTTAGTTTTTGAAATATAAGCCAAAAATTGCATTTTACCACTATGTTTTATTTTGAGTAACAGTGGCCTTGTTTGAACATGGCTCCAATCCTCGGTTAAATTTTCTTTAATTGAGGTACCCTAACGATCATCCAGGTAAAGTTTGGTAACATGTGGCCTATCAATTTAAGAGGAGAAATTTCAATTTTAAGTTAAAAATAAAGGAGAGAAGGACAACGGAGGCCAAGTAATGGCCTGATGACAGGTGAGCTTATATAAAGCGCACACCTCACTTGTCAGGTACACTCGAGACAAGATAGTTTGGCCAGCCAAATACATAAATATTTTTGTATATTTATTTCATTACTCAGAAAGACAGATTATGTGTTAAATCATTTAAAACTAAATTGTATGCCTGATGTCACTCTA